TGAAGGCCCTGATGCAAGAATGAGTTTAGCATGTTCTAGAAAACAAGAGTCCAGTGGGGCTGTAGCTTATTGAGGACAGAGGAGCAGATACATAGGAGATAAGGCTGCATGCGTAGACAAACACTAAATTATGAAAGGGATTCTAGACCATGGCAAGGCATGTGGTTTTTACATATGTGGCAGGAAAAAAATTAAGCAAAATGCTTAAGACAAGGAAAAGATGTTCAGTTTTAGCATAAATAATTTCCTTATTGATGAACAGGTCAAGCTACAGTTAGGGCAGAAATGCAAAGATTTTTTTCTTGGAATAAGGTTTTAGTAACATGACATCAGTATTGGGTATTCCATGAGAAGCAAACAAATAGAATAGGAAAAACCTCAAAATAAGTTTACCATATTTCTAATGGTGATTAATTATTCAGAAGAGAGAACTAAGACTTCTAAAGTAGAACAAGCAAAGTTAAGTCTGTCAATGAATTGTAATAATTACAAAAGAAGATCATCAAATAAACATGAATATTAAATATAATTTTTAAACAGTTTTATTAAATTTAGTAATACGTGCTTAGTATTTTAATACAATTTACAAAATACAAACTACTCATATATTGTTTAATTCTTTTAATTCTTCAACACCTCCTATTTTCATATGGAAAAAATTCAAGTTTAGAAAAGTTAAGTAATTTTCCCACGGTCTCACGGCTAGCATATGCAGGACTTGAATGCAGATCTTTTGACTCCAAAAACTTTCTATTTCCAATTAAATTGAAATACCTTTTAGTGCAAAAAAGGCAATGCAATACTAAGAAATGATAGGAAAAACGTATTAAAATTAATCACTTAAAGGGGATTTGATGGAAAATAATTTATGAAAATAACCACTTTTATATGACCTCCTTCAAAAAAATATCCCATTAGATCATGGATATGTGATTTCCTAGGTACTTGCAAAAGAAAGGTTTGATATTTTTTAAAGTAAATAATAAAGCTGAGAGAGACATTTTCTTGTAAATCAGGCAAAAATAGTTAAAGTTCCAAGAAAGGTGCTACCTGTACCCAGGCCATCAATCTGACACATGCTCAGATGTGCTAGAGTTCAACTATAATAAGCACTTCAGAATTGTACATGTGGCATCATGTGGTCATTTAACTTGCCAGAAAATCACAGCTTTTACTTTAAAAACTAGAACACAATGCTTTCTTCCACAAAGCATTCACTCCCCTCAAGAAGCAGTCATGGTTATTTCCAGATTAGCTGGCTATTTTGGTTTGATTTTCAAATAAACTGTTCTGTTCCACCCGGATATATGAAACATTTAATAGTCAAGTAAGATTTTAAAAAGCTAATAGTGCCTCAATGTCAAAATGTGGAAATGGAAGCAAAGCTGTTGTATATAAAATGCCTGCCACCCCCAACTCCATAATCTACTGAGGTCAAATGAAGACTATCTATAATCCCTCAGAAGAGACACTCAAGTCCTCTTTCCAGCAGTTCCCGACCTTTTTGGCACCAGAGACCAGTGCTCCTATGAAAATTTAATGCCTGATGATCTGAAGTAGAGCTGAGGCGGTGATGCTAGCACTGGGGAGCGGCTGCAAATACAGATGAAGTTTCGCTTGGTTGCTCACTGCTCACCTCTGGCTGTGAGACCTGGTTCCTAACAGGCCACAGACCTGTATTGGTCCATGGCCCAGGGACCCCTGCTCTATTCGATAATGCCAATCACTACCTCTTGACCCAGATCAGAGAGCATTACAGCCTCTGTGATGATATTTTATATTGCTGTTTCTCATGAATTATACTATCAACAAAAACAAAAGCAACAACAAAAATCCCTTAATAACTGAAAGACTTGCCTTTGCACTCTACAATAAGCACCAGAGGATAGCTGAGGAAAAAAAATCACATAAACAGGGAATATTTAGGAGAAGAAATGATCTAGTTGGGTATTTGTTTTCCAGGCTCTATAAAAAGTTCTGGTAGGTAGGGGAAATGACAAACAGGACAGGCTGAAAATATAGATGGCTTCTTACAGGGTGCTATGTAACAAATTTCAATATAATGAATACTTAGTTCTTTCACTATGATTACCACTTGGAGGCATATGAAAAAAAGCTAAGGGCATGAACTTCACATTTATAAAGAAAAAATCATAACCATAGGACAAAATATAACAAAGTGATAAAATGGAAATAACGGGGTGCAAAATAAACGGTACAGGCATTTAAAAGTTTTTAATAGGGCAGGTATATTCCTTGGGATGTGAAGAAAGAAAATCTACAGGTGTCAGAATGAATATTGGGAGGAGAAAAAAAAGGCTTGATGAAACATTCCAGATTCTTTCCTTCTCCTTCACTGCCTCCAAGTCAATTATCAAATTTTCTCTATTACATCTCCTAAAAATTTATCTAATATGTATATTAGGCATATACTAACATTATCAAATTGAAGACAAGAAAACAAATGAATAGAAGTTAGGATTTGCCTAGGGTCACGCAAATAGTAAGAAGCACAGTTATGATCCAAAACCAGTTTGTTTTTTAAACTCCTTGTCAGCTCTTTCCACTATACCCAACAGGAATCAAAAAAAGAAATGCTGCTAGAGCTTTCCCTGGAGGAAGGTTGTCTCTTCAGGGTTGTGTGGTATTGTACATGCAGGGAGGAGGCAGGACAAAAAGGTACCCAAATATAAACTCTTTTATTTTTCCTTCTTACTTTCCCATTATTTTCCATATGCTATAATCCCTAGATTTATAAAAGGTAAATTCGTTTCTTTCGTATGTTTAATAATTTGACATAAGAAGACGCATAAAGTAGTATAATTCTCCAGTGATTGCAAAGCAGTGATAATAAGCAAGAAGAAAAAGATTAATTTTCTGAGGGGAGTATATGTCTTGAGAGCTCACAATTAGAATTTCTATCACGTCGACATTCGTATGTGGAGATTCCAGTGTTCAAACTTATTTTACAAAGGTGTTATAAAAAGTTTCAGCGCATTTTATGCTGTAAAACTATAAATCCAAACTGAAGATCCTTATTTACCTCTAACAACCGAGGTATCCAGCCTTTCCGGTACCCGTATGGGGGTGGTTCTCTCCGGGAGGAGACCAGTGAGGTCTGTCGCGATCTTTGGGATCTTGCTTTTTCTTCAGCCTCAAGCTGGTCTTGAGATAGTTGAGTAGGTGCAGGTAAAAAGCTATAAGCAAAGACAATAAAAGTCAGAATTTTTAAAACTCTTAATTAATTTGATTACTGCAATTTGGCCACCAGAGACTATTTTCCTATAAGACTTTTTCCTTTGAGCAAAAAAGCAAATTTTTCAATGATTTATTACAGTATTCTATATCTGTTATTTTGTTATGTCTGGAAAGAAATCAGTAATCAGAGACGTACAGTAAAAACATTTTAATAGAATGTAGGCAAACGGTGCCCAGAATCAAAAATTAACAGATATTTCACATAAAAGACAAACAACATATTGAGTTTTTATGCTTTCATATTTCTTTTCTGGTAACAAGCAAGTAAACATTCTTAATGACCCGGGGCCAACTGTCCAGTATATAGTTTTTTCTTAAGTGTCTTTGCTATTCTTATACTCCTCATTTTTAACTATTTTACTCTTGTGCTTCTAACTTTTAACTATTTTAGTGTCAATACAAAAGAACAAGGATTAGAACTGAATGTAATAAAAATGTGGATAAGAGAAACATAAGTTGTATATTTAAGTGCACTTTCTCAAGGGTATCTAGTTTAGAATGCAATTTACAATTTAAGAGGTCAAAGATTTAAAGCCTAAAGATGTAATCTGTTATTTGTTATTTAAAAGTCTTTCTACTAAATAAACTATTCTTAACAACCTTTAAGTATGATAAATGTTATTACAGAGCTATTCCAAATTACCACAAAAGGATTCCAGTAGATGAATGTTTAATGGAAAACTTAAGGTTCCTTTGTGATTCTTGTTTAGTAAGCACATTTGAATAAGCAGTAGAGCTTATTTAATCAAAAATATTTATTGATCACTTGGGTGTAGGCACTATACTAGGTAGGCAGTAAGACTATAAACCGAGAAATACGGCTTACAGTATTGCAGGGGAGACAATCAAATAATCACACAAATCTGTAACTACAAATTATTTTAAGCAATGAAGGAAAAGTACAGAGTGCTATGACAGCACACATCACAGGGATCTAATCCAGTGTGGGGGTAGGTGGGTGGTAGTGAGGTAACATGATGGCTAAGAGCTCAGAGTTTAAATCCTATGTCATTTACTAACCTGGTAAAGTTATTTACCTTCTCTAAACCTGTTTTCTCATCTGTAATGACAGATCAAAAGACTACCTACTTTATAAGATTGTTATAAATATTAAATGAGAAAATCCACGAACCACTTGCAGTGTCTAGATACCATTCAACATGTGTTCCATAAATATCTGGTTATCTGGAGCTGTTCTGATTTCCTCAGTTTGGGTTAGTTGCCCCCTATATGTATTTCCACAAGACCCTCTGTGTACTAACCACTACTATAACATCTACCTTACTGTACTGCAATCATCTTTCCATTTACCTTTTTCTCTCTCACTAGACTATGAACAACCTGAGGGCAGGAATCATGCCTTCTTTCATCCCTAACTCTCCAGGCATTGGCTAGCTGATAGCAAGGGCTACTTAAATGTTTGCAGGAGAAATAAGTTCACTCTACCTTTCAAACTCACCATCTTTATGTCACTATAGCCTTCTTGCCTTTCCTTAAACAAGCCATTTCAGGATATTTATATTTGCTATTCCCACTGCCATAAAATATTCTATTTACTAACTAGAACATTTTTTCCTGTAGTGCTTTTATAGAAAACTCCTGCCCAGATTTTTGAGGGCC